TCCTGGTTGCATTTCGGTATTCGGTTGAACACCTCATAGTACCTTTTGGTATAAGTCCTGAGGCTTTCACCTTCACCAATTTTTAGAGCCATCAGGGAGTCTACCCTTAGTGGCTGCAACTGGTTTGTCACAAACCGGGCCACAAACATCTTGGCCAGGCCTTCCTAACTCTTCACAGTTCCTTTCGGAAACTTATGAAACCAATCCAAAGCGATTTCCTTAACGGACGAGGGGAACACTTTGCATAGCAACGGTTCGTTCCCGGTATACAAAGCCATCGAATTCAAATATAAGCCGACGTGAACGTTCGGATCGGACTTACCATCATAAATCTAGAATCTCGACATATAGAACCTTTTTGGGGCCTTAAACCTATCCAACTCAACTGAAAATAGTGTTCTCAGCTTGATGGGGGATGTGACCTCGGCATTCTGTCGCTTCCTCTGGAGGTAATCTCTCAAATCCTCCTTAGTCTGACCAGGGGCTTGGCTGTCAATGGATTTCAACCTTTTTGGTGCGCTGTTCTCGGCGTCATTATAAGTCCTCTTGGACTTCTCTTCATTCACCGTGTCAAAACAAAGTTCCTTCCTTTGAACATATCGATGTTCTTTGACATAAGTCCCTTTGGTCTAAAGTGTCCTCTGAGACTCTCCTCTTCTAGACTCTGCTCTCCCAGCATCCCGTGAAGGCCGATGTGAGTGTTCTTTCACCTTGTCATGCTGAGGAACTGCTGGGATTGTTTTTTGGTCCCCTTTCTGGGCGTCATTCTTGGCTGTGGGAATCGACGTGTCCTTTAATGGAAACGGTGGTTGCATGACGTTATTCTATAGCATGAAGTTGACAAAAGATTATAGGTCTACCAGCTTGTTTGCCATTCTCTTCATCTCGTCATCCCTCCTCAAGCATCTATCTTGCCATACCTGGAGGTCCCTTTCGTTGTAATACTCACCTTGACCTGCTTTCTTCGATGTGTCTCCCTCTTGGCCGACGTCTTTCTCCTTGGGATTCTGATCCTGTGGTCATTCATTAGGGTTCTCCTCCGCCATGTCAGGATCGGTATGTTTACAACTCCCACCAGGGATGTCACCCACAATCTTCTTATTCTGTCCGTCGTTGGCCATCTATTCTCCTTACGTTCCCACAGACGACGCCAAATTGTAGGTGTTGATTTTTGACCACACAACCAAACATGGAAACTCAGCTAGAGAGCACGGATAGAATAGATTAAGCCTGAACAACCTGTCACAGAAAGAAAAGAATCTGGCGGTGGTTCGTCCACCCGAGGGTACTCCGACAATCAAGTTATTAATCAAATATCTCTTAAAGATAACCCATAGTGCTTAATTCACTAAACAGAATATAAAAAGCATACCTGCAACCCACCGGGGGTGCACTACTTTTCTAGTCAGCACTGACCTGATCCCTCTAGAAGCCTAGCTTCCATGGACTCAGGCTCAATGCCTATCCTAGATCCTTATTTAGATAGAGATAAACTCCTCTTAAGCTTTATTTTTATCTAGACTGAAATCTGCTCCTATTCTTGGTCTCTTGTCCCTTATCTGCTCATCTTGGCTTCCGGTATCTTCGTAGATAACCTTGGCCTAGCTGAGATCATCTCGGCATCAGGACCAGGCCATGTGGCATTTCGGCTGACACTTTGGCATCACCTTGACCACGTGTTGTCATTCACAAAATATGTCCCCACATAAAATAAATTGTGTAATGTAGGGTCCAAATAAATAATGAATATCAGTTATAAATTGATATTTTAAAATAAATTAAGTAATTTTTTTGAACTTTTAGTATTACTATAAATAATAAAATTTTAAAATGTTAATTGTTTGGAATTAATTATTCATAATAATATTGTACAAAGTATAATTTTTCTATTTTCAAAATAAATTTATGATTACTTGTATTTATAAGTCAAATACTGCTGTGCAATCTTGATTCCATTTTTCTAAAAACGCTTTTCAGAAAATTTTACTTTTTTATTTTTCATGTTTTTTTATTTTTACTGAATTTTTTTAATATTTTAAGTAGTTTTTTTTACTTTTTAGACACACCTAACATAAAATACACCTAAAAAGTAAAAAAATTGTAAAAAAAAATCTTTTAAAAATTCACTAAATATCAAAAATATAAAAAAATACAAGAATTTAATACATTTTTTGTATTTTTATGTATTTATTTTTTCACAATTTTTTTACTTTTTAAATATATCTAAGTAAGGTGCATCTAAAAAAGTAAAAAAAAAATATTTAAAATTTTAAAATATTCACTAAAAAAAATAAAAATAAAAAAACTCAATTTTCAAAAATTTAATCCAGAAAATTCAGAACAAACACACTGATTATATTTCTATACAAAAATCATACTCCCGTGGCCTTTTCATTTTAAGTCAAAATATTTATTATTAGTATAATTTATAATTGTAAAAATATAATTAACACATTAATTTAAGTCAAAAATATGTTTTGTAAAGATTTTTTTTCTTGAAAATTTTATTTAAAAAAATAGAATGAAAATTTCCAACATTAAAGTTTGGTTAGAATCTTGGGTGGGTTTTCCAAAATAGGGTTTCTGTACCACTGCAAAGAGAAATCTAACATTTACAGGCTCAAGATTTGGTAGAATATCATCATGGTTCTGAAACATAGACTAGTGTAGTATCAAGAGTATCAAGAGAGAAAGAGAGAAAAAGAAGAATTAGGGTTTCAGTGTGTGGATGGTATGGTACATTGTACATTGACCAAAATGCAGTTATTTCTTAGCAGTAGTTTACTTGTGCATGGAGATGTGTCAAAAGAGTTTTGGAACTGTGAAAATTGCTGTTTTAGTTCAAGGGTTTTGCAGAGATACAATGATGATTTTTGTTTTCTCTCTGCTTTGCTTTTGTTGGGAGTGAGGTTGTTGAGTTTTTAAAAAATTTGTTTTTTTTTAAAATAAAAACAAAAACAAGACATAGTTCTGGGAAATAAATAAAAAATTAAAAATATTTTCACATAAATGATTTTATCTTTTGGGTCTTGCTACAATGTCAAAATATTTATAATTTTAATATAAATTTCACAAATTTAAAAAAATAAATATTTTTTTTTATACATTTCAATACATTTTTCAACACAAACAACAACCTTTAGGGTTGTTTTCAACATTTCCCTCATCTTGTTTATAATAAAAATAATGTTTTAATTTCAAAATCTATTTTGTGTATATTTTCTTGCAAACTAATATTTAATTTAAAAAAAAATAAAATATAAAATTAATTATGAAAAAACTCAATCAAACTTTTTTTATTTATTTATGAGGAAACTCAAACAAACATTGTGATATGGGTATTGATGAGTGGTTTGCTTTGCTTTGCACAGTAGGGGTTTTGTGGAAGTGCATGGTTGTAGAATTGATGATTGAAGCTTTTTTGAACTTTGGGTTTTGTGTTGGACTCTCCCTGCAGAAAGTGAAACAAATTTACAGCTCCTAGTGCTGAGTTTCTAGATACTTTCCAGTGAATGGTTTACTCCATTTGATTCTATTTTTATTTAAAGGAAAAAATATACCAATAATTTAAAAAAAAAATTAAAATGACATGTAATAATAGAATTTTGATTATGTAAAACAAAACCCAATAAATTAGCATGGTAAGAGTATTTCCACTAATACTACTAGTCAAAGTATTTAATCAAAATATCATTTTATTATTTGGCTAAATTATATTGACTTTCTAAAACTCAATACTCATTGCTTGGGTTAGTGTAATTTATCCAGAATAATAAAGTGACTTTTAAACCTTTTATAATTATATTGACATTTCTTTGCATTGATGTTTCATGTTTATGCATTCTCAAACTCAAAACAATGACTTGATTAGAGTCCACTTATTTAGAAAATTTATCGAGAAATTTATTTAGAATGTAGAAGTGCTATTGAAATGAATTTGGATATAATTATGAAAAAAATGTAAATTAGTAAAATTTACGAATTCATAAAAAAAATTTATAATTTTAATTGTTAAAGTTAGTAAAGTTTACAACTCATTTGATTTCTTTTTTAAAAGATATGCACTAAATTACAAATTTTCCTATTATTTTGGGTAAATATTGTGAGTATGTAGTATTAGTGGGTAGTTACAACTGGTGGAATCTTGAAAAAACAATTACATATTCATGAAAAAATTATAATTTTTATTATTAATATTTATAATTTTTATTATTAATTTATAATTAATTTTTCAAAACTCGTGTGATACGTCCCTTTTTATAATCTGCAAAATCTTCACATGCGTGTGTGGTGCAACATTGTAGTTTTTTTTTTTTTTTTTTGTGAGGATTTTGAGTTGCTATTTACCTTATTATTTCAAATCCATCCATACAAGGCTCTCATTTTTTTTTGATCAGCAAAAGGTAAATTTTATTGATGAATTGGTTTTTCCATCAATCATAAATTATTATACTCTTTTATATTTTTTAATTACTCAACTCAAAATTATAGATCCCACCTATTTTATAATCACAATACATTTATCTTGTGTTTGGTTGGAAAATTTAGGAAAGAATTTAAAAAGAAAAAAAGAAAAGGTATATGAAACTAAGTGCTTGTTTGGCATGCACTAAAAAAAAATATTTTTTTGCATACATACACTTATTTGCGTCACATCAATCAACATCTATCAATATCTCATCTCTACTTTTCTATTAACTTTTTCTACTTTTTTACACATTTTTTTTAATATAAAAAAGTCAAAAAATATATTTATTTAGAATATCCCAAATCTCTTCTAAATAAAATATAAATATATTTTATTCACACTTCATCTATTTTTTTTTCAAATATTTTTTAAAATTTTTTAACCACAATCTTAGAGCACCACTTGCTGACATCCAAGACCAACCAATAATTTCTCGTTATTAGCTCAGATCATGTCCCCAACTACCAAGTGCTTTGACCCAACCCCGGCCCAAATTTTTTGGGCCAAATAAATGAACCATGAGATGGGCCTTTACTGACCCAATCTCTCCCCCTCTCTCTCTCTCTCTCTCTCAGACTCATCAGAGATGGATCAATCGGAGAAAGAATCGATCGAATCGGCTTCCGAAGAGGTGTCCCGTGAATTCAAAACCCTAATCAATGCCGAGGATTTGGATTCTCTCAAACAATTGCAGCACCTCATGTACACTCTCTCTCTCTCTCTCTCTCTCTATATGTATGTCTTGAATGAGCATTTGATTGTTAGAACTTGTTATGTGATTGGATTCAAAATTTGGTATTCAGAGTTTAGTAGATTACTCACAATTGCTGAATTTTTTCTGCTTTTGCTGTCTAGTGCGTTGTGTTCAGTAAATCAGTGCACTTTAATTTTGAGTAAATTTTTTTTTTGATATAAAGCACTCCAATGGACAAACTTAGATTTAAGCATGAATTTGAGTAAAAGCTTTGGTAATGGTAGAGTTGGAATTTGGAAGCTACAAAATAGTGTTGAAAATTTTGAGTAAAACAGTCTCCCTTGATTTGGGTAAAAAAAAAAGAAAAAGAAAAGAAAAGAATGAAACTTAATTTGATATAAGTTTGAGTCAATGAGTGGAGAGCTTTTTGAGTGATTTTTACCCTAATTTAAATTGATATAGGTTTGAGTTGAGGCTTGAAGATGCCCTTATGGTGCAATTTTAAATGATATCGGTGGTGCTGAGTTTTGTTCTTGGAAGGGACTGACTTGCTCTGATTTTTTCACGAAGTTGAAGTCGATTGGTGCAATGCCCCAATAGAACTAAAAAGGTTGTTGTAGAGGAATATAGAAAAGTTATAAAAAAATCTCCAGTTGTAATGAGGAAGAATCATTAACAAAAGTATGTTGTTAAAGATGAGAGATATTTGTCAAAGCCATTGTATCGTAGTGGTCAAAGTGCTCCCTTGGCCGCTAAAAGAGAGGGATGGATTTAGGGTTTGGTTCTAAATGCTAGTCAATCCATATAAATAAATAAAAAATTAAAAAAGAAGAGAGAAACCGTAATGATAAGTGAATATGTGAGATCAACAAGAAGGCTTTGATTGGAGGGATTGGAGGGGAGACTATCCACTATTTGGATTACAATCCAAATAGTGTTCCTTATCCGCCGTTTGATTTTTTTTTAGTCCGCCGGACATGGAGTTCGGCCGGACTCCATGTCCCCCATATGGGGGACTATTGTGTCCTAGGGGGGGTGGGATAGAATGTGGGGGACTATTCACTGTTGGGATTAGATGCGAAAATGACCATTTTGACCCTCTACTATTTAATTATGTATTATATTTAATAAAATTCAATAAAATTTAAATGTCTCAATTTAAAAATAAAATAATTTTATTTAACTTTTTATTGATGTATTTGTACATCAACATGTTTATTAAATTATTTCAACATCTGTACATCAACATGTATATTTATTTAACATCTATTAAATTATGTTTTAATACGTTAACATTTGATTACATCTACATTTGTTAATTGTTAATTACATCAACATTTGTTAATTGTTTAAACATAATCTGTACATCAAAATAATTTCAATGTTAATTGTTTAAATAAAAATTTAAACATTTAACCATTAGTATGTTTAATTTCAACAATAAATTTTTATTTGTTTAAATAAAAATAATCTGTACCAGTCAAATTTTTTTATCAATATTAGTATGTTTAAATATCTTTAAACAAAATTTAACCATTAGTATGTTTAATGTTTACTAAAAATAATTAAAATATTAAAGATATGTTTAATATTGCTATTACTTAGTAAACAATTGAAAAAGGGTAAAATAGTCTTTTGTTCATTTATCCTATCCAGTCCGTCCAACCAAACGTTGGATTCACTGAAAATAGTCCTATCCAGACATCTAATCCCATGAAAAAACAAACACAGGATACATATCCAATCCGACCAAATAGTCCGGGGGATTCACAGTCCCAGGACTCAAGTCCGATGGATTCTAATCCCCCATTTTCCAGTCCGTTCAATCAAACACACCCATATAGTCATATCCTATCCGGGGTTTGTATTGCAAGTAATTAAGTATTAAGGTGTTTACTAAGCTCTTGGTCTTAGTAGAATTAGCAGAGCCAGCAGCCTATAAATACATATATAATCTTGTTATTCATCAGAAAGTGAAGACTTTTAGAATTTGCCTGAAGCTTTTGTGACTAGTATGATGGTTTGTGCAATTTTAACTTGGGGGTAATTTCTAGGGAAGGCTGGGTTTCCTAGAGTTTCTTCTTCTCTATGACAAATGTGTTGTATTCTGATTATTGTCCACACGCATCAAAAGTGTCTTTTTCAGCCTCAAAACCTTATTATACCCAAACAATCCTAACCCCTTCCCTTCCTATTGGCCTTCAATTTAACTTCAAAAACCTTAATTTGTCCGCTGTTCAACCCTTCAAATTGTGTTAAATCTGAAAATCCTGCAACCTAAATTTAAGAAATTAAGCCAAATTTCAACCATTTGCCACTATAAACCCTAAATTGCCTCACTCTTGGAACCCTAAACCACCACAAATCTCACTGTAGGCAGGCTTAGGCACTAGTTTGCTAATTTGTCCTACATCAAGTTTACCAAAAAGAGTGATACTTCAGCCATTAACCAAAAGATGTTTCAGAAACTTAAATATGGTTGACAGTTTCATTTAACAAGCTGACCTTGATTTTCATTTTGACCTCCACCTTATTGTTCATATTGTGTTTTAGAATCAGGTATGATGATGAAGAAGTCATTAGGTACCTTTGAAGAAAGTTATGGTAACAACGAGAAAAAAAATTCCTACCCTTCCCTCTATTTGGAGAATTGACTGTGAAAGCTCTATTTGAACATGGCGCTAAGGTTGCTTCTTGATTGAAGGACAAAATGATTGATGGGGAAACAATAATTTGAGCAAATGCATTCGTAGATATATTTAAACAAAGCACCCCCTCCACCCCCCAACACACACACACACACACAAATCTAACTCTTCACTCATGCCCCTAGTTGTTAGACTCTACTGAGTAATGACCTTTTTAGTACAAGTCTTACCTAGTTATTTACAAGCCATATCGAAATATTTTTACAAATGACATTGTGTCATTTGATTCTAATAACTAATTCCCCTACTCTACTGCCAATATTTTAATGCCCAAGAATTAGTGATGCCCCCTCCAGGCGCCTTGCTATCTTCACCTAAAAGTGCATGATGCAAGCGCTCCTTGACCACATGGACAGAACAATGGCTGTTGATGTTTTTCAATGTGGCTTATTATGCAGCCATCTTTGCCCATAAATCTTTATCCATTATTTGCTGACATTTTTCATCAATGAAATTAAACCCAGATTTGGCATGATAATCAACAAAGCAGAAATGGTTTCTTCAAAATTGTTGGCCTTTACTTTCTTTCTTAGGGATGGCAATTTAAACCCGGTCCGACGGGGACCCGACCCCCCGACCCCGATCAGAATGGTTTTTCCCCAAAAAATACCCCTGTGGGGATGGGGATGGTATTCGAAATTAAATCCCCGAAGCATTTCGGGCCGGGGACGGGGATAACATTCACAGCCCCGGACCCGGCCCGTCCCCGTCCCTGTATCTCTCCCGAAGTGATATTACGACTATGCCCCTGTGTATATATATGTTTGTGTTTAGGGTTTGTTGACACAATCACAACACAAACAAAATGAGGCTACTCTCTCTCTCACTCTCTCACTTTCATCGCCGTTCTCTTTACTCCCTCAGACCACATCTCTCATCTCCCTCTCCCTCTCCCTCACTCAAATTTCTCTCCCTCAGACCACGTCTCTCATCATCTAGAACAGATCTAAATAGATCCGCCCTCCGTCATCATCATCTAGATCAGATCTAAACAGATCTGAACAGATCCGTTGATCTTCTACCACCACCGCCTTCGTCGCCATGGCTTCTACATCGGTCCGACATGACCCCATAAACTGTCTTCTACATCGGTCTGACACCACCATACAGTGTCCTCTACATGGTTATGACACCCCCATACAGTGTCCTCTACAACGTTATGACACCACCATCCAGTGTCTTCACCAATGGTCTGACACGACCATACAGTGTCTCTTATCCTCTTTTATTTTTATGTATTTTCTTGTTTTGTAACTCTCTCCAAACTCAAGTTGGTTAGTTCCTATCCCCCTTGAGTTTGCGGGGGCCGTTAAAACCTATCACCACTTCACCCACTTAAACCTACTCCACTAAACCTAACCCACTACACCACTACCACCTCACCTACTCCACTAAACCTAACCCACTACACCACTACCACCTCCACTTCACCTATTCCTTACCTACTACACACTCACCCTCTTCTATATATAGGAATCATGAATCATTGTAATAAATATCAATAAACATCAATCAATAATACATAAATTTTTACACTAGGGTATGCCGGCACAGTGAAAATATTATTGGAATGAAAATGTAATTGGAATGATTTTATGATTTTAAGCAAACAATAAAATGTAAGTCCAACAACACAAACATATAATAAAAATCAAACGAAATACGCCAGTCAGTGCTTTGCAATAGAAAAAAATAAATAATAAATTAAGCGCACCAGTCAGTGCTTAACAATATAAAGAAAATGCCAAATAACAAATTAAGCACATCAACCAATATTCTATAATATAAAAAAAGGACAAATAACAAATTAAGCAGGCCAATCAGTGCTCCACAATAGAAAAAAAAAATGACAAATAAAAAAATGACAAATTAAGCACACCAGCCGTACGTTGCAATTCAAAAAAAAAATTATAAAAAATTGTGCAATAAACAATTTTTTTAAAAGATTAATACGTACACAATCCAATCCTATATTAAAAGCAACACCCTTCCTGATAAAAATATATATGGAAGCAAAAAATCAAATTCAACCGAAAAAAAATATAAAGTTTTCTTTAAGCTAATTCAAGAGCATATTAGGATGAAAAAAGAAAAAAAAACTATAACACCAAGTGAATAATTCAAATGAATATTATATAACATACATCTAAACTTAGTTATAAATTGCACATAGATAAAAGACTTTGCAAAACTAAAATTTACATCGATATGAAACTTTACAAAATCTAGATCGTAGTTTGCATATGTACGCTTTTCACAAAAATAAATATGATCTTCAAACTTGTTCTTTCTTAGAATTC